CGCCCAAAGATAAAGCGCCTTCGTCATGCAGAGGCCTATACCTTCAGGCCACCCACGCTGATGGGCGGAGCCACCTATGCTGCTTCTAACTTCTATAGCGTTTTTCTCATTTCGGTATTTATCTTTTGCAGCCAAACTTGGCTCATTACTTACCTAGGAGTCCCTATGTTATACATCGTCAAAATCTCACAATCTTCATGGTCAGTGGGCGGTATCAAGGGCATATAATTATCAAAAATGGTACTGACCTGGCACCGGGAGACATCCTGCTGAATTTTTCATTGATAGTCTCGATATCGAAACATCTAACGGCATAGTCAGCGAAATAAGACGCTTCCCGCGGGCTCACTAGCAGATCACCATATCTGAAGCAAGAACAAATATGGGACCATCTTGCTTGAAATGAACGAAAAATAACATGATTCAAAAAACGAAGTAGAACAGAATTCAAACCAAACCTTGTTGGCTGATCATCCGGCCAGTACTTTGTGCATTGCTGACGATTTTTCTCAAATAGATTCGCTACCATTACTATCAAACGTGCGTCTTGCTCCCATATCATTCGCCAAAAATCAGAAATTGTCGTATCAAGTGGAGCCTGCGCTGCTATGAATGTTTTCCGATCATCCCAACCCTGAAACAGGTCTTGCAAATAATTCAGTAAAACCAACGAAGGAATGATTTTTGGAGAATTGCAAAGCGCCGAAAATCAAAGAATTAATCAAGAAAAAGAAAAGAATACGGCAAAGTCAAAGAGCGCTCACCTTAACAAAGTTTGCGTTGATATAGTCTGAGTTTTCATCCTCGTTGATTATACGTAGTTTCACACGAGTCGCATCAAAGGCTCGGATGTCGTTATATCTGGAAACTTCTTCATCCAAAAATTCAAGGGGAACTACTTGAAAATTCTAGTGGGAGAAATTCCCTTTGCGCAAAAGAGAGAGACCAAAAAGAGAGTAGAAAAAATGAAGCTTTTGATTCACACTCCTCACCTGTTCTTACACGCATTCTCCTTTTTAGCACTGGCGGTCGCATCGAGTTTGTAATGGGGAAGCGCCTAAACCGATATAAAATCAGAGTCCGTGCGCCTACCATGGTTTATCCAAACTAACCTCGTACTCCTGGGCAAACAGAAAATCCGAATCTCGATGCCTCATGAGGTATTCGGATGGTAAATCATCTACTGGGATAGCATGGTAAGCTGATGGTCTCAGAAGGGTTCGTTCAGCTCCCACCGATGATTCTTTAGACATCCACAGCCAGTGGCACCATTGAGACACTTCTCCACGTCTGTTGAAAAATTGATAAGATTAATTATTTTCTACATTGGAGCATCTATATTATGCTTCCTGAACTTCGCAAGAATGCCCCAGAAGATCTCCCTATTTGCCCCTCTGACATTTTTCAGTGAACAAAATGGTCTGAAGCATAGTCTACAAAATGCATTTGTAGACTATGTTTCCCAAGCTCGGCCAGAGTGTCCAAGAAATTCAACTGTTTCAAGAACTTCACAATTTTCACAAAAAACTATGCGTTTGCAGGCTCAAAGGCAGTATCCGGTCTAGGTTAGGGGTTTCGGGATTTCACTGTTGCGCAAAAGTGCCGCCCTTCCATACCTCCCAGCCCAATCGCGGCCACATTTCGTGAAATCAGATGGGAGAAAAGCGCTCCGGAAGTAAGGAGACCTACGCCTCTCGGGACCCCGCCCACTGAACTGATTGGCTAGAGTGCGCATATCGCACACAGTCAAGACGA